CCTCCCTCCTCCTCCTCCTCCTCCCTCCTCCTCCTCCCTCCTCCTCCTCCCCCCCCCTCCTCCCCCCCACCACTCTCGTCGCCTCCTCCCCCCGCCTCTCCCTCGACGGCGACGCCGCCGGCGCGCCTCCCCGGGCGCCGCAGGCGGGCGGCGACTCTCCGCAGAGGGCGGTCAGCTTCTCCGTCCGGGCGCCCGCGCGCGCCACGCCCGCGGCGGCGCCGGGCCGCCGGCCGAGGCGCGCGCCGCTCGCCGCCGCGGCCGTCGGACGCTCGCGTGGAGTTCAGTCGGGCGGGTCCCCCTATAGGGGGAGTTTCGACAAAAAAAAATACACACCAAAAACAGTCAAACAATAGTCCTAAAATAGTCTGGGGACTATTTTTTGAGTTTTTGTTTTGCCTTTCTGGGGTATTTTGTGTGTGTGTGTGTGTGTGTGTGTGTGTGTGTGTGTGTGTGTGTGTGTGTGTGTGTGTGTGTGTGTGTGTGTGTGTATGTTTTATTTTTCGTCGAAAATCCCCCTGTAGGGGGACACGCCCGACATAAGCGTGGAGTCGGGCGGGTTCCTCAGGGGAAGATTCAGAAGCAGTCAGAAATTAGTCGGGGGAGGAATGTTCCACTGTGTCTGAGCTCTCAAAGGTATGTTTAGAAGATTGTCGTCCCAGATCTGCTTGTAGGAGGACATGCCCGACCTAACGCTCGCACGCGCAGCCGCCGACGACGACCAGGACGCTGACGGCGTCGTCCTTTCTCTCGGGCCGGGTCAAAGGGCAGAGAGGGAGAGGGGAGGTACGAAATCTGCGGCACGCAGTTGGGTTCCTCCCCGCCGCTGGGTCCATTCCTCGGTCTGTGGGCGCCTCCCAGCGTCAGGATGCGCTGGGGAGACGTGGTGTACGTGCGCCGATTCTCTACCCTGCCCTTGGCTATCCTGCCCTTTCGCCCCCCCCCCTCCCGATTCCTCCGATTCGATTCGGTTTCGATGGCTTCCGATTCCGATTCGATTCCATTAGGATTCGGATTTGGATCCTAATTTCTCAATGGAGACTTCCAGCCTGCCGATTCCAGCCGATCCGACCTCTCCCGACTCGGCTGTCGGCTGCCGGTGTCCCCCGATCCGATTCACTTCGATCGCCGATCCGAGTTGCCGATTCTACTTTGGGCTCTCCTGGGAGCTGGAGATGACACAGACATGAACTTTCAGAGATCCGCGCGGATTTCTGGGATCGGCGCTGGAGCCCCCCATGCGGCGCCTCCAGCGCCGCCCCTGGCGCGCTTGGCGCGCCAGGGAGGGGCGCCACCCTGTATGGCGCGGACCAGGTGTGCAATACGCTAGAGCCTTTGAACTATACGCACCCTCTGGAGGCGTCCGGACGTCCAGACGGCTACGCAGCCCGTGTTTATGCTCACGCTTTCTGCCCTGGCTTTCAGTCCCTGCCTTTGGAACCTCCACAGGCTCACGTTTGTGTCACGTTTTGTTCTACGATCCTCACCCTTCGGGTCCTCGCCGTCGTCGGCGGCGTCGTCCTCGTCTGCGGCGCCGGTGGTCTCGATGTCCTCGCCGTCGTCGTCGCCGTCAGCGGCGTCGCCGTCGCTGCTCGAAGGAGCGGGGAGGAGGGAGAGACAGGGGGACGAGACGACGAGAGAAGGGTAGAGGGGGAGAAGGGGCGGGAGGAGGGGAGAGGAGGAGCAGAAGGGGACGGTGCAGGTGTAGGAGGAGGGGTCCCTCATCGAGGAGGAGCAGGAGGAAGAAGAGGGAGGAGGAGGCTTCATAAATTCACTGCAATTTCGGAGAGTTCCCAGGCGGTCATTCTTGACCCGACTCATGGCCCGTGGGCCTGGACTTGCAGCATCCAGAACATCATGGACCCGATATGCTGAGTTTGGGCCTCTGGAGGGCCGCTTCGAGCCCATGGAGCCACAGTGAACAGCCAACGTTTGCGAAATCCATACGAGTGTCGCGGTCGAGGAGAGTGAAGATTTCCAGCGCCCACAGTACTGAAAACGTCGAGACGTCAGTTCTCAACTGTTTAGGCTCAAGGTTTCTAGTGAAAGCGGACACTGGGTTGAGTGGATCTCATTCGTTTGACGTGTGCATGCGCTGACGGCCAGTGCCCCGCCCCGCCTCTGAACTTTAAGCTGTTCCGAACTCGGAGAGTCGAGCAAGGAAGGGATTGTCAGAAATGACACGCAAGCTCCGCGAGAACGTGACCTCGCCATGGAATCGGCATCGGCTGGTCGTTTTTGTGAACGTGGTGCGCATCGGTTCCATTTCAAGCTGGGCGTTGTACATTGCGCCAGACTGCTGCGACGACTTTGCAAGATCTCTTCCCCAAACTCCCTCTGGATCCGTCGGTGCTGAGTCGTCGCGTGCGTTCTTGGAAGCACATGCATACTTAGTTTCGTTTACTGCCGCTTCGAGACGCCCGCTTTCCATTTCGATAAATGTAGTTTTTGGCCCAGCTGTGGTGCTGTAAGTTTCATGCGAGAGTTAGTGTTGTTGATTGTCTGGTTTGTTTCACGTGTTTCAACCTACCCTTCCGCAGCATGAGATATGTGTAATGCGATGTCAAATGAGCAGAGGTTTAACATATGTTCACCTCCGTCTCACTTCTTACTTATGAAGGCAAAGCCTGACCATTTGTCAGGCGTGCGCTGTATCATCGGATGTGCTACGGTTCGTGTGAGCTATTCAGAGTGGTGGTTGGCTTGTTGGGGCAGAGCTTACTTTGTCAGTGGTCTTCTTGGAAACAGCCACAGAGGATGGCCTGAACCAGTGGATTCCGAGTGCCGCCTCGCACGCATGGTAGACACTTTGTTTTGTTGGGGTCTTGCAACACATGGGAATTCAATAGTTTGGCCAGCTGTTCACGTTCGCAGTCGCAATGAGTTGATTGAGTACAAGTGGTGGCACGCATGTACGTTTAGTTCAGCATCCGTACCATCGGAAAAGTTCAAAATGAACTATATATATATATATATATATATATATATGTTCATTGTGCGCTGGCACTCCCGCAATTATACACAGAGGACAATCGCAGTAGCGGCATCGACAGACATGACGGTGCCTGTCGCTCGGATGTGCCTTCTCCCTCTCTCCTTCAATCTTTCTCCCAACAGAGGTCACCCAGAATGGCCCGACCAGCGCGAGTTTGGCTCGGGAGCCACAATGAAGGCGGTCGTCGACGGTCGTTGCCTCCCCGTTTCACCATCGTCTCTCCCCGCAGAAGGACGACGATCACGACCAAGACCACGACCACGAACACCACGACGACGTCGACGACGACGATGACGACGACGACGATGACGACGACGACGGCGATGCGGTGCCTGCCCGGCGCACGCCCTGGTCGCCGTCGCTGCGCCTCCGCGCCGCCTGCGAGGCCAACGCTCCTGAAGACGCCGTCGTCGTGCGCGTCGAACGCGAGCCTGGAGGCGGCGCCGCCTGCCGCTGCCCCTGCTGGCCTGAAGCCGAGCATGTGCCTCTGCTGGAGGACTAGTCGAACATTGGTAAACAGATTGTGGGGATGATATTTCGACTATGCTATACGATGTTTGATTATTTCTGAATAAGGTTGATTTTTCGTTGAACATCAGCCTGTAGGAGGACATGCCCGACCTAACGCTGGCCACTTAAGATCGGGGGCCCCCGAGCGGGTTTTACCTCTGGGGCCCACTCCTAGCGCCTGCGCCAACAGGGAGCTTTACCGAAGCCCACTCAGACTCGAGAGTGGGCCTCGAGTGAGACTCTGGTCTGCCGACGTTCTCTGACGAGAGCGTCCGGGATCTTGGCGGCCCATATTCGTGGGAGGTCTGCAGCGGGGGCTCGCGTCAAATTTCAGGCTGGGCCTCGTCATTTTTAATTGATGGCCCCGTCAGGCCAGCCCGCGTCCCCCCCACCAGAGTCTTACGTCTCTCCGATCCTTGTTCGGAGGTGGATAGACCTCCTACCCTGACACGTCGATTAAGGAATTGGCCGTTTTCGGTTCGCGGGAGGGCGTCGCGGCCGTCATTTTTGCGGGTCCAGGTCCGTCGGTTTCGGTCCGGGGTCGTTTTCATTAAGGGGAGGTTTATTAAAGCGAGGTTTGTCCACCGCCGACTTGTCTGTCTGCCTGCGCGTTCTCGAGTGCGCAGGCCAGGCTCCTGCTGGTGCTGACCCGCCTCTTCCTCCCAGCGGTCGGACCGATGCATCGGTTCGGGGAGGGTAGGTGTCCTGGTGTTCTTCGTATTGGTTGGATGTTCTCGTGCATCCTGGGGGAAGGCATCCTCGAATGTTCTTTCAGTTTCAGGCGATCGCAAACATGGATTAAGGGGACGTGGATTAGCGACGGGTCCCGTTTCCATGGGAAGTCGCTGATCTCCGCCGTTGAACGAGGCGGCACCGGCCGCATTTTGGGGAGGGCACCTCCCCCGATCCATGGATTAGGCGACCGCGCGCCAAATCCATGGATCGCTAATCCATGTTTGCGCGCCCCCGACAGTTTGGGCCAGCGGAGGGTCCCATGTTCTTGAAGGATGTTTTTCTGTCCTATGTCTGGCAGTGGCAGTGCCCGCCTTGTTCTGACGCTGTCCTTCTCCTCGTCTGTCTGCCTGCGGGTTCGCGAGTGCGCAGGCCGGTGCTGACCCTCCTCTTCCTCCCTACACCTCCTCCCCTCCCTCTCTCCACCCCTCCTTCGAGTAGGGGATCGGCTACAGAATTGATTTACTTTAGTAGTGGGAACAATTGGTTTTCAAAATGTTTGGTCTTTAGAAGCTCTGCGAGGCGACGCCCCCGTCGCCACGCGTGACCTCTGCGTGCCTGCGGGGGCGCCGCCACGTAGAAGTACTGTAGACCGAGCATTTGGGGCGTCGCTACGCACGCCCTCTGCGTAGCTGCGACCATTTGTAAGAACCCTAAAACCAATTAAATTCACTAAGAACCCCCAAACCGATCTGTTCGTCGAATCTACGAAAAATGCGTATAATGCTCGTCGGCCTTCTAGCATCCTGTATTTGGTACACTCGACGAGAAAATCAATTCTGGGGTGAATCAGTTGTGATGTCGACCCCCCGTACACCCCTCCTGCATCGATCCATCCCCACTTCTCCCCCCCCTCCGGCCGGGCCAGCTGGGCGGCGTGCCCACGCCGGGGGCCATGAGCGCGTTGGGCTCGCAGACGCCCGAGCCCTCGAGGCAGGAGATGAAGCTGGTCGAGGGAGGACGGCATCGCCGCGCGGCAGATGAGGGCCTTCTGTCATGGAGCCGGCTTGGGGTCTGAGGTGACCTTGCGCAGAGTGCCATTCTAGCATGGCGTTGCATTGCACAGTGAAGCATTGCATCACAAAGCATCGCAGCGCAAATCATGGCATCGCCCTGCGGCGCAGAGCTTGACACCGCACAGCATGTCGTGGCACAGGTGCCGGTTTCCTTGGAGGGTAAGTGGATCGTCTTCTGGAGGTCTGGGCCGGTTTGCAGTCGTGGCTCCATATCTAGCTCCATGGGTTTCCCGAGTAGCTGAGTAGCTCCACACAAGACGGGGCTGATGGAGAGCACCCGCTGGCTCTGCTTTCAACATCGCCTTCTCAAAGCAGACACAGGGCTCCCTCTTGATACTTCCTGCAAACGACGACGCCCCAAACATAGTTTCTGAGAATTTCTTCATACTTCCAGAAAGCGGACTCCCGCTTGATACTTCCTTGGGCTTTTGCGGCCCAGAAAATCAACGAATCGGCATGGAATGTGTAATCATTTTCGATGGTTTCTTCGTGGGCATGTTTACGATTTTGGGACCTGTTTGGAAGGACCGAAAACGCCCGCGCTGCAGCTGTAGCAAGATTTGGACCAACCATAGGCGCAGAAATGGGGCAAGCGCATCAGCGGGAGCAACATATTGAAACAAGATCCAAGCGAAAACCCAACTCCCGGGAATCATGTGTAAAAAATCAGAGCGCAGAAGGGGGCTGGACATCTTCCGGACGTCATCAGAGGGGAGAGGAGAGTAATATTCATATTGTAATTTCAGAAGGGGGAAGGAACGAGGGGGATCTTTGCAGATGAATATGTTGGTCGGTTTTCGGTAGTCGCGACCTCTTCCAGCAGCCGGATCTCGACGAGAGCTTCTAGATAGCGGCTCTGATGCTTCGATTTGCCTTCTGTGGGCCGCGTTTGATAGAGTGGGGGAGGCTGTGGAGGGTAGAAGACCGTCGCTCCAGCGGTAGCCGCTGGCCGCTGGTATTGAGGCGTGTCGTGCGCATCCAAGTGCCATATCGCTGTTGTCTGTCACTGCGGACACTTGGCTCACAAGGGCTCTTGTCTTGTATTTCTTCTTCTCCTCCTCCTCCTTTTGCTCCCTCCTCCCCTCCTTCGGGGAGGAGAGAGCGAGGGTAGGGGGAGAAGGGAGATGAGCATAACGAAAGGATCGTAGTGACCCCTGATTGACGGAGCTACCTCTCGAGCAAGCTGCATTATGCAAGCGGGTTCTCCCCCTTTAGCCCTCCAGCCCTGTCACAAGGTGGGGCGAAAGGAATGAGGGGAGACTTCAAGAGAGGTGGGAAACCAACGCTGCGGGTTGGACAAGGGATGGAGAAGGATGATGAGGAGGAGGAGCATCAGCAGCAGTGAGCAGGAGCAGCACAAGGAGCAGGAGGAGGAAGAGGAAGAGAAGGAGGAGGAGGCGGAGGAGGAGGAGGAGGAGGAGTACGAGGAGGAGCAGCAGGAGCAGCAGCAGGAGGTGGAGCCCTAGGGGAGGACGCCCACCCGCAGTAGTGGGCACGAGTGGTAGAGGGCACGAGACGAGGAGAAGGATGTGAAGGTGGAGGAGAAGGATGTGAAGGTGGAGGAGGCGGAGGAGGAGGAGGAGGAGGAGGAGAAGGAGGAGGAGGAGGAGGCGGAGGAGGAGGAGGAGGGAAGGGGGAGGAGGACGGGGAGGAGGAGAAAAATCATGAACAACTATTATAGCAAAACACACGGATACTGGAGCCAAGGCGCGGTGGAGCGCAGGAAGGTCGAGGGATGCGAACATACAGAGCACTGGAGGCGGTCATCCCTTGGTAAACTTCCCAGGCCCAGATGCGCTGCGTGCGCCCTGCAGGCCTCTGCAGGCAGGCGTGCACACCGATCTTTGGACCACTAGTGGCTTGGCCAAACTGATGCCGGGTTTGCATATCTCGGAAGCGAGGAGGATCAGGCGGGAACG